AAATGTTACTAATTGACTTTTCCAGTGCAACATATTTACAGTTCAGCAGTCTATGGTTGCTAAAAAATAATAATAATTATAAWAAAAGAATAAGCAAGACATTTTTTATTTAAAAATCACCTCAAAGAAAAAAAAATCCAATAACTATAGAAGAAAGCAATTCAGTTTACATTTCCAAATCAAGAAAAATGAACATTTACCATAAATGTGTCAAACAACACTAATAATGTCAATCAAATAAAAACATTTAGCCTAGGRAAAAAAATGCTAAAAAAGATAAACAAAAGAACATTTTACTACGCTGACTTTGGAACACAATATTTGCAAGTATTTGACTTTTCTTTTGCAAACACCAATAACTTGTTACAAAAAAAAAAACAACTTAGCAAAGGTTATATGCAATCCCATTTTGACATGGCGCATCATACTACAAATATTTGAGTACTGAAATCTCCTCAAAGTAATAAAAAAAATTTCTTTTTTATTATTTTTTTGTGAAACAGAGCCTCGGAATAATTCTAAGGACAAGGGCTTGACTTTGAAGATAAGCGGCCCATTAAAGCTTGCCTGGCCTTGTGTTTTATGAAACAAGTCATCTGATGACAAAACATGCCTCAAGCTGTAGATTATATAAAGTGGGTGGGTCGCTATGATGCAAGTACTTCACCAGTGTGAGACAAGTGAGCTGTGTTTGAATGAAGACCACAGTTTACTGCATATCACATGTAGTGYTTTTAGCGAATTCTTGGAAGCTTACTTTGAAATACGATCCATTCTAAATAATCCAGTCCTCAATACCAGACTACCAGAGAGTGTCTCCCTCATGTTTCAGACACACACAGCCTCTAGGACTGTTCGCTGAAACAAAGATGCTTCTGAAAAGTGACATGTAGCTCTTCACACGGCACACAAACAGGCACGGCAGTCCATGCTAATAGCTGTGGATTGTTAAAAATGCATTCCCTTACAGATGGTCCACGGTATGAGAGATCACGCTATGAACAGGAGTGAAATATAAAATATACAGAGAAAATCAAGCCACGTTCTGTACATTTCAAGAACGTCATCGCCTAAACGCAGGAGCAAGATAAAGAGTCTAATCACCACGAAGTACTACAGCAAATACTTAAAATGTGACATCATTCTGTGCGGTCAGTGTGTCTTCTGAATGAGAACAGAGATTTGAAACTGTGCTACATTCGTTTGACTCTATAAGTGAAGGAAACCGATACGGAAGAAACAACTATCGTGGCGTCGCAAATGCATTCATTGTTAACACCGAGACAAAATTCACAACACAGGAGCACAAACACTGACAAAGCAATAATAAAATCATTGATGTCTCCTTTGGCTCATTTAACTCACTGACGTGGTTGTGTCTGGACATAAATTATACTGAAAAGTAGCACTTTTACTTATCTAGATAAAACAACAAAGGGGTGTTTTGAAATGCGAGTGGCCTGCCTGATACCATCCATGACGAATTGCCATGGAAGTGTGTAGTGTTCTCGTGCAAGTTTGGTGAAAATTGTGTGTGACTGTGCTTCGACAGTGAAGGTACGACTCCCAAACAATGCTCCCAGCTGTGCTGGGGGTGGACTACAGTGACGCATAAATTAGGGACTATTGGGGGGGGGGGGGGGGGTATTCAGCAAGAATAGATCCAGTACTTTATTATTTTAAAGACCCATCTAAGGTCATATGCTGGCGACAGGAAGGAGGAGTGTGGGGGGGTTGAAGGGGAAACTTCACTGGCCACTAAGTCTGCAGGTGGTGATGCACAGCGCAGAGGCGGACGGGTCACAGGAGAGGGATGGGAGCGCACGCCCAGCACTCATGAGTTGTCTGAGGGGACGTGCTCTTCGAAGCCCTCGCTCTCCCTGACCAGCGCTCTCTCCAGGATGACACGTCCCTCTTTGTATCGCTGACTATCCTCGGTGGCGAACTCGTAGATCCAGCCCAGCTTGCTGTTGCAGTTCTTGCAGCTGACATCCCGCACCATGTGCCTGCCGGTGAGCATCACTCTGTCTTGAACCTCGCTGTACTGGAGGTTCACCACCTGTTGGGGTTGAGAYAGAACCGTGACGCGATTTCTGGAGCGTGGAAACGTGAATGTGTGTACCCAGGTAGGGCTGGGTCGGTGCCTTCGCGCTCAGTTTGACTGTACCTTATTGAAGAGGAAAGCTCTGCCTGTGGCTCCTGTGAAGCGCGTGGAGATGAGCTCTGAGCGATTAGTTAAAATGGTGTCACAGTTAGCGCAGGAGAAGAGGCGCGTTCCACCAATGTGGTCCAGGAAAATACGTCCCATTGTCCGATCAGTGGAGATACAGAACTAACAACCCAAAAGGAGAAAAGGCTCACAAATTACTGTTAGACAATTAAATTTAAACCATTTTGACTGTAAACATTAGAGAAGCTGCAATACCTTAAACAGAACATAGCATGGCTAACTTTTTTTTAAGAAATCCATTTGTAAATTCTAAAGGCTTTGCAATACTGTTAATGGTAGCTATGAAAGATTAGCTACCATTAATAATTAAAAGATTGAGGCCAGATGCAGAAATGGATTAGAAAAGCTGTGTTTTTGTTGTTCTTCTCAATCATGGATAATAAAAGGTTTAGCAAAAGGTAAAACTATATATATAGCTTTTGGCAACAACAGTAAACTTCAATGTCTGTGATTTCCACTTTGTTTAAACTTTTGCTTTTATATTTTCTACGCTTGTTTGCCTTTTTTTTTACTTTGATAAGGTCCAATGAACAAAACCCATATTTCAAGACAAATGCTTAACTTTAATTTAGACTTTAATGCCGTCTTTTGAGTCAATTTAACATTAAAACAATCTGATAACATTGATAAAATGTTAATTTTCTTGCCCTGTTACTACTTTTTCACCATCGAACCTCATCTTATGCCACTAACACAAGTAGCATTTCTGTAAGAAGTAACAAACGCAAACATATCTTTTCACAAACATAACACCGTGTACTCTAGCAAGGTTTTGGTTGTTGAACAGTGATATAATCAGTAATACTTTCAGAGTTGTGTATCAAGAAATATTTGGGCCTGAGGATTTTGTTCGACTGACAGAAACAACAATTAGTGAAAGTCGGATAAAATTGTTCCACTGTTTTTGTCTGTTCCTTTTCACTAAAAACAAATAATTATCTCTGTTTTTTCCTGTATATATTTTAGCTTAGAGGCTGACCAATATGAGCTTTTCTATGGCCAATGTAAAGCATAAAAATAATAAACTGTGGGCTACAGTAGGTTGTAGTAGCTGCTGTTCCATTTTCACTCATTTGGTGGGTCAAACAACCAATCTTTCTATTTTAGCTGCATATATATAATGTTTTATTAAGAAATARGGGAAATTACTAATGATAAGAGCGACACATACAATACCAGTAAAAAATAAGCTCGAAAACTTTACAGAAACTACAAAAAATGTTGACTTGTGATTACAGAATAATATAAAAGGAAGATGCAAACTTTACAATTACAAATACTGTCAACTCATTCATTGAACCAGTCACCTCTCCTCATTTTTTACTGAGTTCATCAATGACTTCATGTTCCTCACTGATTTGTCGTGACTCAACCAGATGGCAGATGGGCTTTGAACACTGATTGTTACAAATACAGCAACAAACAGGATCAAACATAACAACTCTTTTAAAACAAAATTCTGTCTGAAAATGGTGAATACATTTGCTGGTTTTGAAGCAAACCATTGCGACGTGGTACTAAATCGGTAAAGTGAAAATAAACAAACCGAAAATAAACAAACCGAAGGTTAGCCGCACAGCTAACAGAAACAACACAGGCTAAAGGAAGTACAACAAAAACCTAACTATTTTTATGAAGCTCCTACCTTTAAAAAAATACTTTTACATCAAACAAAATATGTTCATGTAGCGGCGGTGTCACCGATGTTTACACCTTGTTATCAGCGCAAATTGTTTTTGTCGTCGTGGCTTTTGTTTTCCTCTTTCAGCTGTTCGTCGCACTCCGAGCTGGTATCAACATCCGGTGATGACGTAGCGGCTCCTGCTGCAGAGAGGCTCGTGGCCAATGCTGCTTCAGTCCTCCGCGAGGCGTCAGCAAAGAGCAGCAACGGCACCAASACTGAAGATGAAGGGATTTTCATAATATGTACTGTATGGATGTTGTCTGACCTGGACAGAAAAGCAGAGACAAAATACAAGCTCTCGTGCCGGTAGCTTGGTCGTTCAAAACGATGCAAACCGGGATTTCATTCAATAAACCTCAGCAATGAGAGAAAATAACCAGAATTTTAGTGAATGGTAAATAAAATGAATCTGTATCTTAGTGGCAGTGCTAAACATTGATGTAAGGGGTGGCACCAGGGTGGCCAAGACTTTTTTGGTGGGAYAAATAGTCATAAATTAAACTATTTTGTTTCTTGAACCTGTTAGAAACAATCCAATTTCATCAAGTCATGAACCCCCAACAATATGGTTCACAATTTAAAAATACTGGGAAACTTAAGCATAAACGAGATCTGTGAATGTAATTCACTGACGATTTTATTTAACAAAATATATGCATTATGTCATAGAACCCCAATTCCAATGAAATTGCTACTTTGTGTAAAACATAAATAAAAACAGAATACATTKATTTTCAAATGCTTTTCAACCTAAATTCAATTGAATATACTGCACAGACAGTATACTTAATATTTAAACAATATACACTCACCGGCCACTTTATTAGGTACACCTGTCCAACTGCTCGTTAACACTTAATTTCTAATCAACCAATCACATGGCGGCAACTCAGTGCATTTAGGCATGTAGACATGGTCAAGACAATCTCCTGCAGTTCAAACCGAGCATCAGTATGGGGAAGAAAGGT